TTGTGTCTTGTTGCTTTTCTTCTTTTGTCTCTTCTCTATCCACTCACCCAAACTGGTCGAGACAGAAGGCCGCCCACCAAGAGCTGGGGTCTGTCGGAGGTTTCTTCTGTTAAAGGGAGTTTTTCCTCCCCACTGTCGCCAAGTGCTTGCTCAAGGGGGATTTGTTGGGTTTTCCCTATGTAATAATATTGATAACAGTAAGGTCTGGACCTTACTTTGTAAAGTGTCCTGAGATGACTTTTGTTGTGATTTGGCGCTATACAAATAAAATTTGATTTGATACAGAATAAAAGACGGTTTTCCTCAAGTTCAGACCAAAGAAGAAGTGGATCAGAGTTGGCTCCTGGCTCTGCCTCTTCTGTGGTGCAGTCAGGCCACAATATGCTGTGGAACCAGGCGAGTTAACCCACCAGGAAGCTGAGATGCTGTCCAGGGTCCGTCTGGTTTGAGAGAGGTGGGGGCACCGACTTCTCATTCAAGAAATATAGTTTGTGCATGTTGTTTTACAACAGCAGGTCAGAGAGCAGAAGCAGTACAAGAGAGATGACAGAGCATAGTGCTGCTGTTAGCGTGCTAGCCGTGCTAGCTCCCACAGTTTATCATCCTACCTACATTATTTCTTGTCCCTGATGCTCAGCGAATTTTGCACTGACTGCAAATTCACCAAAAACCCACAAGCGTCTCTGCCCATGCGCACAAGCAGCACTTGACAGGACGCTGTGCTGTAAAATTAATGCTGTATTTCTGCTGTTTACCTCGAGATCATCACGACCAAAGACACAACAAGTCTGACTTGAACAGCTGTCTCATAGTATGTACAGTTTAACACAGTCAGTTTACAGAATTCAGATGACTGGTGTGCAGGGGATTATGGGATACCGAGGACCAAATCATCCAGCTGAGTCACAGTTTAACTGTTGACCTGCAGGTCAGATGAATGATGGGAACCCGCGTGGTCGGCATGCATTGCATATTTTTGCTTCAGACGTTTATTTCATAACGGATTTTATGATCTGGGCTTTGGCAGTCCAGGGGCTCCGTGTTGATGGTGGTGCATGACGGCACCCACACCTGTCAAACCCTTGATTGAAATGACTTATTCTGTGATCACACAAAGTGGATCAGGTTTATCATATGCTTTGATTCATTGTTAGTGCGTTTTGGCAAGAGGATTAATTAGTAAAAATGACTTGTGGTTCTAATTGTTTTTCAAATCCAAATGTTAAAGATTCTGAGTTTCTGGCATCTGTTTGATGTTACTGTAAACTGAAACTCAGTTCAATGGACTGCATGACCAAAACAAGCCATTTGGCTGTCAGAGGCTGGAACAGGCAGTTTTACCAGTGTCTGGCATTTCATAGACTAAATGATTAATCAGGGAAATAATCCGATCATGAATCAATACTAGGGGCGGGTATCTCTCCTTCGCACGATTCGATACGCACCTCGATACGTGGTGCGTAAGATCTGATACATTTGTAGCGACTGTGATTCAGTTCAGCTGATATTCAATTTTAATTTATCTTTTATTTGAAAGATGTGAGGACTTCATTACCCAGAAATCCTGGCAGGCGAGGCCAGAAAACCAATCAGTTTACTGGTTTTAGGAATCTAAACTCTGCTACAAACAACCGACTGGAGGCCGCTGTGTCTTCTCGACGCACGGCAACACGTCTGGTCGGTGAAAACTAAACCAACAGTCAGGAATTCGTGCTGTAGAAATAATAAATCATGTTTTCTAATTTAATGTAAAATGTGCTCTAACAGTGAATCTGTGTGATCAATAAATCTCAAGTGACTTCCTGTGTCCTGATCAAATTCATTCTCTTAAAACATTCTTCTTCGCATTCACTGCTTCAGTTATTTTAGTCCTGCTTTAATGAGCCAAGTCATGCTGGGGATGTACAGCTCAGGCTCCTGACTAACTTCACTTGTGCTCTTGATTCAATAAACAGTGCTTTTAGATGGCTGGGTAAACACACACACTGATAAGTTATATTTTCAAGTTAATAAATCGTTCTCGTGACTGCTGTCATCTCACATAAATAAATCATACTTTTAAATAACACTCCCGCTCAAATCAAAGATCACGCCCTCCAATGATTTAATTCCTGCTCTTGGAGTAAGTCTTGCTCTTGGTTTACTACATTTATTGACTTGGTGAGATATTTCATTCTCTCTGATTAATAACTTGTGCTAGTCTGTGCTTTCCAATCACCTGGTCTCTGTCCTTGAATCAGTCAGTGCTTCCAAATGAATCAGGCCGTGCTCGTGAACGCCCCGCTTCACACTCTCTGGTCACTCTCAGGCGTCTGTTCCTCAGCTTGCCAGCGTTTCCCTCCAGCTCACTAAAAAGAAGAACTTCCTTCAGCTCCACATTTCAATACAGGGTTTCATGCATACAGTGAAAAAGCTCATCACAACAGGTGAATGGAAACACACCTTTCCAAAACGACCCAGTGAAGCTGACGCCGTCCTCCCCACCACAGACCTACATGGGACAGACTGGATGTCAAGTGAAGGCCGGTGTCAGTGAGCTGCTGTGACCAGAAGCATACAACAGAATCAAGGCCGCACTGAGTTTACTTGAACAGCTTAGTTGGGCTGTATGTAAAGTTCCTCTCAGTCGTCTTTCATCTGCAGCTGACTGTTTTGACCACAGCTGCAGGTCGGAGCTGGAATGTTGCTTTGTCTCTGTGGCGCCTGATGCCAACTCTCAGCTCAGGCCAAGCACAGGCCATGACAAAAATAATTAAGCCTCCACTTCAGTGCCTCACTGTTTGTTCACTCCGGCAATATTGACTGAAGGTGGTGCTTTCACTGGCCTGTCAGCTGCTTGGGAAATCTCTATGATGAAAGTGTAACCACCAGGTGGCAGCACAGAGCCACCTGGGGAACTACAGTAGACTGATGGGAGGCCACGCTCGGTCTGATGAGTCAAGTCCAGTGGTTTACTGTTTTAAGTACCAATAATTTGACTTCTCCAACTGAATATGTCCATTGAAGGTTTAAGTTATTCTCCCCTGGAGTGAGTGAAAAGGTGAAGATTTGTTTTCACAAAACATACAGAAACACTTCAAGATAAATTCAAGTGAAATATGTTCTGCAGTTTCATGTGATTAAACACTTTCCCCCAAATAAAACACATTAAATTAACTTCAGTGTCACTGTCTGCAGGTGTGAACTCTGGTTTACATCACAATACACGAGTCACAGCTAAGTCAGAGTTTCTGAGTACGAGCTCCCAAGTCACATTCCAAGTTAAGACCAGAAACTAACCAAGTCCTCTGTCAAGACCAAAATGTCCCAAGCCAGGTTCCACATCAAGACCTAATCCAAATCCAGGTCTTAAGCAGGCCATTAGGTGACGTCACCAAATTTAATGTTCGAACTTCCAGAAAGAGAAACTAAGACTAATAATATTTGATCAGGAGTGTTTCTGTGCGCTGTTTCTGTCACACAGGACACTTCTAACGTCTGAGCTTCCTGTAGCTGCCTTCTGTTTTTGCTGACCAAACAGCTGAATGTGATGGTTGGGTTGAACACCAAGTTGGTGTGTAACTAACATGATGTATAATCTTTGGTCCCATCAGAGTCAGACGGTGGAGGTGAGTCAGTGGTGGTGAAGACTTGCTGGATTTTGTCAGCTAAAATCTAAAGTTGTGAAATTTGTAACTCGAGTCCGACTCGAGTCCACAGCTCTGTTCCAACTCGAAACAGCCTCAGATGTCCGTCTTTCCACAGGGAAGATTTTCTGGGTGTGGGTTTCCATTTCCATGTGTTATTGACTGAAGCTGTGATGTTGTGCAACATCTTTCTGGTCACATTTCTGGTGGCATTAATTTCACCTTATAAGGTTTCTTCCTCCGCAGCTGCTTCACTCCTCCCCTCCAACCGCGTACTGTTCCTTCTGCTCAGAGGACAAACCGCCAAGTGCTGATTGGTCAAAAGATAAACGGCAACATGTCTGAAAGGGGAAGAGGATTTTATTGCTTTGACATCAACATAAACTTTAAACCTTCTTTTGTTTGGAAGAAAACTGTGTCAGATCCCAGAGTGCTGTCTGCAACGGGAAACAAGTCCTCAATTTAAAACCTCATTCAAAAAAATGTTCCCCTGTGCTGCACCTTTCAATTTTACCATAGGCATTAGTTTCACAATTTACTGTTATGTAACCAGGGTGATGAAAACTTCAGTTTGAAGGCAGAAGTGAAGAAACAACAAAAGGTGAAATGAAAGAAGACATTTTCTCTGCTTGTGTGACTCAACTTCCCTTCAGGGAGGAGGAGGCGGAGACATCCTGCACAGCAACGACGGGCTGCAGCTTCCTCTTCAACCAAATGATCTGAAAATATACGCAGAGAGAAAATAGCTGCATTGCATTCTGGTCTATTGAGCATGAAAGTATGAAAAACAACATGAAAGTCTGTTTTACATTAAATTGATTATTCTAGTACTTTTTCACGTTTCACTACAGTATCCCACAGTAAAACATCGACAATCATTTTACTAATTATTCACCAGTTTTGTGGTTGACACCTGTCTGACAATCAGCCCGCAGAGAGAATCCCTAACAGTTAACACCGTGGTCACCGTGTTTGTTCATCAGTGTCGTGTTGTCACTGAAAACCTTTTGACGTATCCAACAAAAATGTTTGTCACACAGTAAAAACTGATTTTGACCACAGTGAAATCTGATCAAATCTGTCATTTCTGATTTTGATAATAACAGAGGTAAATCACTAGCATTCAGTCACAGTAGCCGAGTACTTTAATCACTTTAGTTCTGCTGCAACTTTTACACTTTAAACGCAGTACTTTTACACCTTTGTACTGGTTCTTTAACCTCAGTAAATGTTTTCGGCTGCATTAATGCCACCACTCACTGACACTTGAATTCTGTCAACATTAAGCTACAATGGGCTGTAAATAATTAGCATGAAGCTACAGGACGAGCAGCAGGCAAACACGACCAGCATGTGACAGAACATGAGCCGCCCTCTCTGCCTCACTGGGTGTCAGGAGTGAGTCTGGTTCTATATTTAACCTTCAGGCCTCTCCCTCCCTCTTCACACGCTTGACATAAGACGAGGCCACCAAGAGACGACGAGCAGGATGGAGGTAAAACTAACTTTTCTCTCAGTCTGTGTGTGCATGGTCGTCCTGTTTCTCTGTTTTCTGGGGTCACGGTGGAGCTCAAGAGGAGCCGTTTCAGGAAGATGCTGTAAATGCTTTCATTCAGCTTCCAAATACATCTCTGCTCATTTCTGATAGTGTAGGGTAATACCAAACTTTCAGGTTAGATTTAACGAAGAGAGACGAGCCACTGCACCGGGCTCACCAACATGGTCATCGACGTGCCCCACGTGTGGAGCACAAAGTCCCCAGGTCATTGGTTCCTTTTGTTACAGCTGCATTGGTTCATCTTGTATGTGCTGCAGCTGAATGCATTAAACTGCAAACGGTTTTCTGCAGAAATCTATTTTACTTCATAGGACATTAAATACATATGAGTATTTCCTACTTAAATATCTGTTGAGAAGTAGTTTCCCCTGGTGTTCTCACACACACTTTGTGTTTTAACAAAGACTGTTTCTCTCTTTTAAATTCCGCGTGAGCACAAATCGAAGGTTGGATGTCGGAGCTTTCCAACAGCACTTAAACACACCACATATTTGTGGACCAGTACATTTCTCTGTGTGACAAAGGCTGCAGACCTCCACAGACAGAATGCAAACCATCCCACACGTGGACCTCAACACAGGGATGCAAAAGCACATCAGACCTGTTCTGGCTGACAAAGCAATGATGATGTGTGTGAAACGTAAAACCATGTTTATTCTTCAGATAGAAAATACTGTGTGAGGCTCATGTTGGTTTTCTGGAATTGTTGTCAGGTTAAATAACAGCAGCTGTATGTGTGTGTGTGCTGATGATAGGTTACTGCAGCTCAAGCTTTCATTAACATCAGCAGTGACGAGTCCACACAACATCATAGTGATGATGAAAGCAAACTGTGTCACCAACGACGCAGCGTTTACCCAGATTTGCTGTCAGATACTCTAAAAGGGTTTTTTTTTCAGGCACACTGAAATGTTTCCACTCAGGTTTTCTAACGTGAAAACTGAAAACACACAATGACAGATGAAAAGAAACTCACTCAATGGCAACGTGAAAAACTCAACTCACAGAGATCCGTGACCTCTCTGACCCTAACACCCTCCCAACTCAGTGTGAGTATACTTTGGTATTATGTGAACACAGCATTAGTTCATGACATGGGGACAAACCGTTTAATGATGAGAAGGAATTTATAACTGAAGCCAGTGGATCTCAGTCTCAGGTCACCACCTGGAGGGAATCTGTCCATCTGGTTTTGTCCAATTTTAGTGACCAGTTATTTTCCAATGCAACTTCCATGAGGATTAGTCAGACAGGATCAAAGTAGCTGCCTTATTATCATCACTGAACGGGCCAACGGGCTGCAGACCCAGGACCCCAGGACCAGAACCTCTGTATGAGGTGAACCACAAAGAAACTCAAATGAATCAAAGAGGCTCAAAGATGCCAAAGGACTGCAGTGAGACTCAAAACAAGTAATATGAGATGTAAAACAACTTCAGAGCTGGATGACCACACAGACATGATAACCACAAAAGGACCCGGACGGGGCCTGTATTTAGTTTCAAGCTCCGCTGCCATTCATTAAGTCCAGGTCCAACTCTCTATCCTCTACACCTGCCTCTGGCTGACTCACTTTCCATCAGACAGCTGGGGTCAACAGTGGAAGTCCTGCAGGACATAGATGCCCTGAAATGCCAGCCCATGTATAAACAATAGCACATATCTGCCAGTAAAGCTGGTGAGTGGACCTGTAAGGTCACACATGGTTTATGGTTGTACTCCGAGATAAACACTGAGCAGTGAAACCCAGAGGAACAGGAATCACCACCATGATGCCAAAGCCTCATGGGAGATGTAGTAATGAAGGGGAAAAAATGAGGCTGCTGGGAGCAACAAATCTAAAACCTGGACACTGATGTGGAAAAGTCCTGTGACTGTGGAAACTCAGCCTGGGTCTTTAATCTGGTGCAAATGTTCTAACCGTGTGTGAACCAGTGTGAAGAGCAGCTGCTCTAAGCTTGAACAACACCAGGGATGAACACACACGCTGAGACAGAGGAAGTGGTTTAACGGTTGACGTTTCATCTCTGTCTTCAGTTTGTAGGTCGACTACACTGCGTGTGTGTGTGTGTGTGTGTATATACACGTGTGTGTGTGTCCTCCAGGCGATTTCATTATCTGCTGAATGTCAGCAATGCGAGTCCTTCAGCTGAGATGGACGTGGATCAACCCCACGTCAACAGCTGTGAGCGTTGTGTGATCCCTTATTAGACACGTACTGTGGGATGCCAGTGAGGCATCATGACCAGCCAGTAACCCTACTGCAAGGTCAGATGGTCACAGTATCTGTAGTAGCAGAAAACTACAGGTTAAAAAAAAAGCCAAATACTACAACTACTACAGTACTACTACTGTTAGTTTGTATCTGCAACTGTGACTGCAATGTAATAGTAGCAGTATCAGCAGCAGCAGTAGAAGAAGTAGAACTGGAAGATCCAGTAGTAGGAGTAGGAGTAATAGGAGCAGCAGCAGTACCAGGACCAGTAGAAGTAGTGGTTGTAGCAGGAGCAACAGCAGCTTCAGTAGAAGCAAGTAGTAGTAGCAGTGGGAGTAGGAGTAATAGCAGAGGTGGTAAAGTACTGGAAGTTTTACAAGAATCAGCAGTAGCAAAAGCAGTACCAGAAGTGGTAGCTCTACTAGAAATAAATTATTAGGAGTTGCAGTACGAGTAGTAGTAGCACTACAGGGTGGCAGCACCTCAGAGCTGCAGCTCCAATGAGCAGCGGCCTGTGACATGACAACACTGGCACTTCCTTCCTAACATGGTCACACTGCCACCACAGACAGGAAGTAACCTGCAGCGCGGGGAGGCTCCGACTGTAATACTGCAGTAGTAAAGGTATTAGTGTTGCAGCTGAAACGATAAAGGCAGGACCCCCTCAGTGTTTTGCCTGGAGTGTGGAAATGCTGTTCTCCTACATGTTAACTGGGACACGGTTGTAAAGGAAGAGCAGTCTTTGTCATAGACTGAATACAAACATGGACGATGTGACAGCTGCTTGGAGTCACACCCCCCTGGTGGCTGGTTGCAATATAGGTCATAGACCCCGCATCCTCCATGTTAAAGGGTGGGACAAAACTAGAACTCAAAGCACAAATCAGACAAATTTTTCCCAGAGGTCACTTCTGTGGCTTTAGGTGATTATCATCACACTGATGTGTGTAGAAGTGGTCGATTTTCTTGTTTTTAATAGGTTATTGACGATATAAAAACAAATTTTTCGGTAGGCTAGTGGTTAAGGCTAGTGGTTAAGGCACAGTGCTCTCACCGCCGCGGCCCGGGCTTGAGTCAGGGTTACGTCAGGAAGGGCATCCGGCGTAAAACACGTGCCAAATGTCAATGTGAGTCGTCAGTGTGACGATTTGCTGTGGTGACCCCTAAACGGGAAAAGCTGAAAGTGACTTTCTTTCTATTGAAGATATAAAAAGGTGTGTATTTCAGATGACTGACAGCTTTGACCAGCATCTGATATGTCACTCAGCTACTCGGATGCCACTACCCAGAAAGTGGCAACAAAAAACCAAGATGGCTGTCGCCATATTCACAATAATTTGGCTTCACTTTCGCATAGTGGAGGGGAAGTGGTGATGTCTCATCCATGTCTGTGGTCCTTTACGTTAAACTGAACGTTATCAATAGTCGCACCCATTATTTTGTGTAATAAAAGAACACCAGATAAACAACTTTAAATAATCTAGTATGCAATGATATCAGCAAGTAGCTGCTGGGTGCAACCCCAAACTCCACAAGGCAGTGGCAGCACAGGACCTGAGAGATGCTCACATCGGAGCAGCTACAGGCCACAGACACACACGGGTGTGAAGCAGCAACACACAGATCTAAGCGTTACGGCTGTGATGGTCATTTGTCATCTCTCTGATGTCCATTGTGTCTCTTCTCTAGTAGAAACAGTAGTAAGAGTAACAGTACTAGCACACTCTTAGTAGTAGTAGTAATCATAGTTGTAATAGTTGTAGCACAGCAGTAAAGCAGAAGATGAAGTATTTGATGTAGATGAGCAGCAGTGGCTGTCACATTTCCCTGCATATGGCGCTCTGTGCTGGACAAACAGCTGGCATTTACCTGGGTGTCATCCTTCCTCAGGAGGAGGCTCCCTCCCGGCGCTCTGTGGCCGAACTTGCAGGAAGGTTCAGCGGCGCGGCTCCTGTGCACGACGCTGCTGGGAAGGAAACGGTGAGTTTAATGTCCCACGTCTGTGCACTGACCAAAATAAACACCAGAGCAGCAACTTGTTCAAGTCTGTGGTTCTTCAACACGGACAGAAAGTAACGCTGTAATTAAACACCGAAAACACAGGAATTACCCTTTAACAGACACAGTGAATCTTCTTGAACTGAGTTTTATTCATATTTGAGGCTTTTTCATGTTGCTGACCAAAACACATGCAGCCATTAGAAATTATGTCTCAGATTCATGAAACTAACTGAATGGCACTTCTTCGCCTCTTGTTTGTTTTATTCCTGTAACTTTAGCAAAATTTTACAAAATGTGATCAAATCAAAAGAGAAACAAGTTTTAAAATATTTCAACTTCTAGATGTGAGGAGTATAAAGAATAGCAGGAAACAATTTCGTGCAGAAAGAGAAAACAGTTTCTGGAATAAATCGCAACAAGTTCAGGAAACACGCGACCCACACAGACACGTGGCAGCTTTGCCATGTCAGACCAAAACAAGGAAAATGTGAGAATAACTCTGTTTGTCCTGCTGACACATGGCCTTAACACTTTGTATGAGGCGCTGCTACTGTCTGACACGGACCTACACATTTTAGTAACTCTACTGTAAATAATATTGCACTAGTTTGATGGTTTAATAGTGTGAGTGTGTTTGTTTACCAGGATAAGCCAGTCAGACGACGACCTCCTCGCTCCTTACACATCCCCAAACCACATGAAGACCAGCAGGAGGTGAGAGGATCCTTTGATTTCACCAACTGTCAGGATGACAATGAAACTAACTGAATGAAACTAACTAGTTAACTCTTCAGCTCAGCAGTGTAAACACATAACAGGGCAGCTGAAACAGTAATACCACATATACTGTGCACAGAACTTAGCACTTACCTGCTAAAATTAAACATCTGCACATTTCAAATATAAAGCCCCGGCCCACCTGAATTTTATTGTGATTTCTAATATACAAGGCTTCAGTCTATTTGACCTTCATCAGGTGTCACACCACACCAGTTTTCTATATTTTTAATTTACATTATATATATGTGTGATATACACAGGTAACCTACTGAACAAGGAAGGTTATCCTTCACAGTAAAACTCAGTCAGACAGGTGCATTCCATCTGGTCTTCAGCTGCCAGACACAGAATGATCATGGTCTGTGTGTGTGTGTGTGTGTGTGTGTGTGTGTGTGTGAGTGTGTGTGTGTGTGTGTCCACAGCCTCCAGGTGTCACCTCTCCTCAACCTACCAAAGCCAAGAGGAACTCTGCTCTGATTGAGAAGCTGCAGGTGGGTCCGGGGTAAATCCCAATTCCCTCATTTGCATCCATGTTTCTCTCACTTGTCTTTTCCTTGCATCTTAGTCGAACATAAGATGCAAGGAAAAATGCAAGGAGAGATGTTCTTTGAGACATGAGCTGTGGTTTCCTCTGATCCTTCACCTGAAGCATCCAATCCCCAACTGATTTCCAATAAAGGGGCGTCAGTTTATAACATCTTTCTGTGAAGGATGCCCTCGTGTTTCCTGCTCACGGCTCCTCCAGCAGCCTCCTCGCTCCTCAGAGCAGGAATAAGAGCTTTGGGACATCCTCCAAGACGGCAGACTGGAACCACTTCTGACTCGAATGAGGACTGATAAAATAAGGGAACTGGGATGTACCCTATGGTTAGAGCTATTGGTGTGAGTTGGCGCTGCAGATGGCTGCCTTGGTTCTGTACCGGAAGCAAAATTGTGCGTGTAACATAGTTGGCTAAATAAAGGTGATTATTATGATGTAGCCCAGGTGGTTTCAGGTGGACTCTGCTGCCCTCTGCTGGCATGGGGGAGAGCTGCACTCTGACATCTCTCTCTCTCTCTCTCTCTGTCTATCAGGCCAACCTCGCTCTCTCTCCATCCACCTTGCTACCCTCTCCAAAGAGCCCTGGTATCAGGGTGCTGTCTCCCACATTCACCTTGCCTTCCTCCACCTCTGCCCCATCCCCAGCAACCCCCACCACCCCACTAACTGAAGAGGAAGGCCCCGCCACCTTCGAAGCCCCTCTGTCTGCGGTGGAGGGGTCCATCCTGCAGAGCGTCAACAAGGTCAGACAGGGAATTAAAGGATGACTGCAATTTGACAAAATGTGCACAGAGACAAACAAACAGCAGATAAGCACAAAAACAAATACAACTATCTGTCTCTAGCTGTAGATTATTTGGAATCACGATAGTTACAGCTAGTTGATATTTAAAGCTGTTTACTTGGTGTTCACTTACGACAATGCCACAGTTAACCTCACCTGTTTGTCTCTGCTCTGGCAGAGCCGACCTCGTCACTCTGTCCGGCGACGCCCTCCGTCCCGCCGTCACAGGAAGTCCAGCAGTGGAGACGAAGTCGGCGTTACCAATGGCGTAGCAAACACAACTCAAGATGAGACAACAACAGGAGAAGAAAGAGGCGAGGAGGAGGGACGAGGAGGAGGAGAAGGAGAGGTTTTCAAGAAAGAAGGTGAAACAGATGAGGTGGTGGAGGACAAGACAGACACTTCAATGTGTCCTGAGAAAACTGAAGAAGGTCAGAAAAGGACTGAGCCCAAAGAAGATTATGAGGAGGAGGAGGAGGGCAAGAACAGATCCATGGGAGGAGAGGGGGGATCTTCATCAGGAAGGAAGGAGGAGGAAGATCAGGAGAAGAATCAGAATGAGGTTTCAACTGAAGTAGTGACAAACACAGACAGCAAAGAAGAAAAGAGTGAGGTGATTCCTACGTTAAGTCTACGAACTAATGAACAAAACACACAGAAACAGAATTTTACAGCTGGTTCTCAAATGCATTCAGCTCAGCTGCAGAGAGACGCAGACAACAAACTTGCTTGCTTGATATTAGATTATCAGCGATGTCAGTACAGGGCTGATCCAGGAACAATTTAATTTAATACCTCAGTATCAGCTCAAATAAAGCTGATCCAAATCCGACTCGTTCTCTGCTATGTTTTCCCAATCTAGGCTGTTTGTGCTGCAGCATCTCACTAATGGTGGAAAGTAATCAACTACTTTTACTCAAGGGTTAAACTTAAACCTACTCCACTTACTACAGAGTCCAGTGGGACTCAAAATTAACTGACAGCATAAACCACACCTAACCACTCTCTGCTCCTCCAACTAATGAACAAAACACACAGAAACAGAATTTTACAGCTGGTTCTCAAATGCATTCAGCTCAGCTGCAGAGAGACGCAGACAACAAACTTGCTTGCTTGATATTAGATTATCAGCGATGTCAGTACAGGGCTGATCCAGGAACAATTTAATTTAATACCTCAGTATCAGCTCAAATAAAGCTGATCCAAATCCGACTCGTTCTCTGCTATGTTTTCCCATGTGTATGTAATCCTGACCATGCTAGGTGGCTAACGCTACCAAAACAAACAGAAGGAGGAACGCCACCTTTTCACCCAGTCCGAGTCCTCTGGCTGCTTTTAACCCTCTCTATGTCACACAGCCAAACCCATGTTAACCCTGGTTGTTGCTCTTTCTTTGTCCCACTCTCTCTGTGCAAAAGATGCCACCTCTTCACTCTGGCAGCCGCTGGTTCAGACTTTTAGCTGCCCAGAGCTCCTCTATGGCTGTTTGACATGACTACTCACTGTTATCAACATGCTTCTTCTAACCTCGGCTAGGTGGCAGGCAGGGCTAATTTACAGGTGGCGGGTCGTGGCGGGGGGTTGTAGCTGGGAAATACCACGTTCTGTCCCACTGTCACTGGGGTTATCAGACTGTGGGGGAACAATCTGAGTTAATGCTTCATTTAAGTGCAATTCTGAGGACCTTTATGTGTGTATTTCCACCACGTTTATATGACAGACAATTATGAGTTTATTTTTAGATTAAGATTTCACCTAATAGTCTTAAAAAATACATGCATTGCTAAAAATCTATGGTTTCCAACCATTTCTACGAGGTCAGACTTTCACCAAATCGTGTTTTTGTTTTGTTTTCTCATTTTGCTGTGGTTTAAAATGTTAGATGACATTTAGATTTAAGCTTTGTTTCTTCACTCTGTGAAGCTGCTGTGTTGAAAAGTGAATACAAACAAAGTTATCATTTTATAATGTTATTTCTACATTGCTCCCACAGGAGACGCCGAGCCAGAGCTCAGCCCAATGAGGTCTCAGGTGTTCAGTCGAGTCGGGGCAGCTGTGACGAGGCCCTGGTACTGGGAGGGAGACTCTGCAGCATTGAGGCCTGATGGGAAAGCTCTGAGTCTGGACACTGGAACATGAAGGAAACTGCCACCGCAGTTTTTTCCTCCCTGATGTGTTGAGGATGAACTGAGGAGACTGTCTCAGGACCTTTGTCTTGTAAACAATCACTGCTATAGTTCTGAAGTGATTTAAGCACAAAGCTGAACACGACTGATGTGAATGTGTTTTTATTAATCCTCAACTCGAAGTCTTTTTACACTGGATTTGTTCCTTTTTGTAAGAATAATATGTGATGATGCTACTATGTTTTCTTGCTGTTCGGTGGCTTCGGCGCGGATGACGACGATGGTGTACGATTGTTGGTGTCCAGATGTGTTAAAGTGCCAAGGCTTTTTAGAGTTGTACAACCAAATGTAAAATGCCAAATAAAGATATGTGCTCGTCTTTTAACATGTGGTAATGCTTCACTCGGTCAGAGGGAAGCCTGAAGCCTTATTCAAAGATCCATTACAAAAATGTCTTTTTAGCAAAACAAACCCTGGTGGCTGTTAGCTTTAAAACTGGAGACGACATATTTGTGCCTTAAAGTCTAAAACTGCAATTAAACGGCATATTTCTGCTACAGTAAAGTCCCACAAAAACTCTGAAAGACCAACGATGGGGGGGGGGAGAAACTACAACAAAAATGCCAGAAAACCACAAGATGCAAAACAACAAAGATGGTTTGGTTAGTTGTTGTCATTTCATGTCTTTGTGGTCATTTTATGTATCAGATCTCAGAAAATTGTATTGTCATTCTTTTTTTCTATTCTACGGTATTTTAATCTATTGTTTTTGTGTTATTCGTGTTTTATAGTGCTATATAAATTAACTGATTTAATCTTATCTAAAAATTGCACAATACCCAAGTAAACGTACTTTCCACCATACTATTGAGGCGTCATGGTGGGTCAGTTTTTACTGAAACCGTTAAATATCGTGCCTGTTACAAGGTCCAGATCAGTGCGCTGGTCCTGAGTGGGAGTTGTGTCGGGGAACCTCTCTGAACCTGGGTACCCTGTTGGGTCTCTTATGCAACCAGCTCTTCAACCAGCCCGCCTCCCTCAGCTGAACTTTGCGGCTAAAGCCTCTGGCAGCAGCTCCCGGCAGGCCAGAGCTCATTAACAAGTTATTTTAGGAGCTTCCTTGATTCTCCCTCCAGGACCTCAGACAGTCAGAGTCCTGAGGTTTGGTCTGTGCTGAAGCCCGCTGGCCTCGCTGCCCAGCCCCTAGGTTTCTGACCTTTATGTCACTGTTCTCCTCATGTGTCCCTGTGGGGGTCCAAGACAAGGACTGCAGACCCCTTTAACAGGCTCTTACTACCATCTGCACACATCTCTGAGGGTCTGAGGACACTTCCTGTCTTCCTCCTCAACAAGTGAGGAGAATCTCTTCCTTCTCCTTTTCATGAGGTTTTGTGTTGCTTCACCTCAGTGCCCCCGTAAGGCTGCACCCATGGGGAACCATGGCTCGAACCTGGACGATATCCTGGCAGAGGACATGCACCACTGGTACAACAAGTTCATGCGGGAGTCTCCATCAGGCCTCATCACGTTATTTGAGCTGAAGGCCATCCTGGGACTGAGGGGCCTGAACAAGAATGCCAACAGCTACGTGGACCAGGTCTTCTTCACCTTCGACATGGACGAGGTGCGTGTCACACCCACACAGGGTAATACGTACATACGAAGGGTGTGTGTGTGTAAGTTCAGAAAGCAGTACTTTCAGGCTGAAACATCAAACCTCTCCATCTCTCTAAACTTTGGAGTCTTAGATTCTGGTTTGTGGACTGGTTTATGCTCCCCTGGTAAGAGTAATCACCATTAGACGTAGAATAAGATAGTGCGGAAAATAAAAAGATTACAAGCTAACAAAAACAGGTTTGAAGAAAATAAGTGCCCACAATCCAGGCAGTGAGAAAACAGATGTGCAAAAAATAAAACTATATTAAAGCTGTGGTAAAAAGTAACTACATACATTTACTCAAGTACTGTACTTAACTACATTTTGAAGTACTTGTACTTTAGTGTACCGGTTCTTTACCAACCTCAGATAAGCAGAAGAAAATGGATGGATGTACTTTACTATACATTACTTTTACTTCAGTACAGTTCAGACAGAACTACTCTATCTGGTACTTTTTACTGGCCTACAGTAGGTTCACTCTGCACCTCAGGGGCTGCTGAGTTCCCCGCCTGCTGCGTGAACCTGCTGCCGCTTGCTCAGGACTTCAGCTGTAAATCTGGGACATGTGGGAGCAGCTGCAGGTTTGTTCAGTCTGAGTCTGCAGAGCTTGGTTGCAAACTTCAGGTCAAACATCAGATTTGGGAAACGCCAGCTGTGATGTGAACATCCCCTCACAGATGCTTTTATCTTAGAAACACAGATCCAAACAGCCTCCTGTGTCTGCAGGACGGTTACATCGACTTTGTGGAGTACATCGCAGCCGTCAGTCTGATGCTGAAAGGAGAAATCAACCAGAAGCTAAAGTGGTACTTCAAACTGTTCGACCGGGACGGCAATGGAAAGATTGACAAGGAGGAACTGGAAACCATCTTCTCAGTAAATCACACCAATGTGGCTCAACACACTAGACATGAAGGAGGATTTCAGTCACCTGCTAAATGTTTAATAAAATGCATAGTCTGTGAATATAGTTTCAGTCACTTTACCAATTTATGTCAAATTATAACAGAAACCTCTATTAAATGTCATGTCGCTCTGGGTAAATAACTACATTTATTTTTATCCACAAATATTCTGAGGCTAACAGAATTTTTTTCTCTGCAGGTACAAACTCGACCTATCAGAAGTCGGACAGGTGCCTCAAAAGGCTGAACCCTGGGAAAAATAAATAAATAAATAAAATCACTCACTGCTGCATGTTAATCAGAAATTTGTTAAATACTTGCTCTGCTATTTCCTGAAACAATACTTTGCATTTTCTCTTAATTTCTCAGTTTGCCTTTTAAATTATTATTCTCAAGAACATGATGCAGAATTCTGACTTCTAATTTCATACTGATCATTCAGAAATAAGTGCATAAACTTTACACCAGGTAGAAACAGAGATCCTTAGCTCTGCGAGGGTTGCGATTTCTGAGCCCACACTGTATGTGCCACCCCCTGCAGGCCATCCAGAACATCACACGAAACAGAGACATCGACCCCGAACAGATCGTCACACTCATATTTGAGAAGATTGATGTGAAAGGAGAAGGTAAAGGACGCTGCTTTCTGACAAACAGCTCCAACTGATACTTGTACTGTTACTAAAACTACAACATGTCAGTGGTAAATACTGTATCGTCTACTGTACTACTTGTACTGGACAACTGGAATTACTTTCAATCAGGTCCTTTACACAAGTGTAAGAAGTTCATTAGCCTTACAGCTTAGTGAATCCAGGCACATGCAACCAAGTGCTGTACAATGAGTGAGTGTTGACCTTTAACCCCTCAGGTGAGATGACATTGGAGGAGTTCATCGAGGGAGCCAAAGACCACGAGGACATCATGGACATGCTGAAGAACCTGATGGACCTGACGCCAGTGTTAGAGATCATCGTGGCGGGCCAGGTGTGATGAGAACACAGTGTTAGGTATTTTTAGTCAGATAGATATTGGATAGATACTTTATGTATTAGGAATGTTTAGTGGAGATAGGTAGCCTTAGCCATAATATGTTCTTATGTTTAATGTCATGACATGTTACTAGAAGTCTGTGAGAATGTTTTTATCTACGCACCACTTAATCAACAGACACACACATTCACACGTTGATTTGCTTCATGTTTTGACTACTGTTATGACCAGCTGCAAAGCTGGCACCAGAGACGTCTCGGTTGACGTTTCTGTGTAGTATGGGGCTAGCCCAACCGAGGGGATATAATGTATAGGCCTGTTGGGCTCAGGGTCTTTTCATCTTTCATCTGCCTGCGAGCAGTTTGGGGGTGCAAGATACCTGAGCGTGTAATGTTAGTTTTACCTGTGATCCTTTGAATAAATCAGCACTGTTTTGATGTTACTTGGACTGCCTCGTCTCTCAAAGTTAGCAATGTTAACACGAACCATATCCTACAACAGAAACAAGAGCACAAATAAACCTGGACTCGCCAGTCAGCTACTCTAACGCTAGCTTCAGATTGGAGGCTGCGTTTTGTACAGTTTGTCCCAACCAGGCATCCGTAGTTCACATCATAGCTTCAGGAAGCAGGACAGGAGGGTCAGAGAGCAGGAAGGAGCAGCTTATGTTGGTAGTTTGTTTTGGGTCTCACAAGACTCTGCAGGCTGAAGAGACATTGAGCAGCGTAGGTTTTATGGAACTCGCTTCAAGAGTCAGATGTTTAGATCGATCCCCTTCTCATGTCTGGACACCGAGTATTGAGCTACAGCCAGTAGCTGGTCAGCTTAGCACAGACCCTAGAGGCAGAGGGAAACAGCTGGCCTGCCTCTGTCCAGTGAAAACAACACCCACCTACCAACAGGCTACACCTCGTCTCATTTCATTTCTTTGAACTGAACAAAGCCAAAGCGTTCTGAAGCCAGAAACAGAAACTAACACCATCACGCGCCGTTTGTACAGAGCCAAGACATAATTCAGCCGAACTCATTAATGAAAACCTGTTGTCACGGTTACCTTGCGAGTGCTCAGTCTTAATAAGGAATACAAAATCAGTTGAAATCAAGTATTTAAATCCTACCTCTGGATGAAAGCAACATGCGAATGCTGTTACTTTAACTTTGATCTTTTCTGAGTTAGTTGTTCTGGGTCTTATTTTGAAGGCAAGGTGAAATTACTGAATGATTTTCAACCTCTACTTTTCTACAATGACGTGCGAGACGAGATCAGGAAGATAGAGGGACCTTTTGAACGTGCTTTTACAGTGAATATTGATTTTGAACTCAGACTTGATTTCTGGAGCTGAAGAAGCTGCTAAGTGACAGTAGTCCAATCAGAGCTCATCTACATGTCAGCATCGACGCCAACAGAACAAGACTGAGATTTTCAGACAGCACCCACCAGTAAAATACTAATTTTAACAAATCAGATTTTGTGTTGCCTTATTACTGAAGTTCTTAAACCCAGTGTCAATAGCACAAACCAATAAAAATAATATTAAAATCGATTTAATTCACCTGCTCTGGGAATTAAATGTTTTCTGTTGGAGAAAAAAAAAAGATGCAGAATCCATCAGTCACAACAAACATCACAGATGAAATAAAATTATCGCTTTTTATTTGAAAATACAGAAAGAAACTTTCATCATGTGTCTTACAGTTCTGTTTTGGTCCACGCTGCGTTTACTGTAAACAGGAAGTGGTCAGTCACTACATGTCGGTTTGTGCCATCCACCTAGAGGCTTCAGGTGAAGACATAGCCACACACATTTCATCAGTCCAGAAACCACAGTTCCTGCAGCTGATTCCCCCTCCTTCAGTCTGACACATTGGCCCTCAAAACTTAAAGTATTTTCATATAAATAAAAACTATTTCAGCTGAGTGGATGTTTCCAGTGGTGGGCCTTCCACACAGTCTATCCCAGAATGCATTGGTTAGAAGCACCTGGCAGGTCACAGACAGCCACGTTCACACCAACACACAATTTGTAGTCTGTAATTAAGACCGGGAGATGCACCTAATATTGATTACCTGCTGACACAGAGTCCAATCAGATACGCCTACTGACCTAATTGATGCAGTGAACTCACAGCTGCAGACTTGAAATCTGACAGACGTCATTGTCCATGAGCTGCTTTATCCAACACTGAGGGTCCTGGTTCAGAATTATAAAGCTGATCAGTTTACATTACTGCTCTGGTATTAAGAAAAACTGCTTCCTGAAGCTGACAGGGCGAGATCCTCTAGGGAGAAGACGGCTCACTCTGATGGAACTACAAAAACAAACGTCTGTACATGCCACAATCACTGCTCATGGTTTCTATTTGTCAGCTCAGAAAATCAAACCTAATTAAACATGTTTTGCAGGTTGTATTCACTTATTTTCACTTCAAATATCAGCTAAATACTTGCACTTTGCCCTGGGCCCAAACTTGCATACATATTATATAATGTTAGATTTATTGCAAAGCCAAACTTCAGAGGAGAATGTGCCACTTTAAGAAGGCTCTGATTCTTTACCGGCCTACCTGTCATACAACACAACTAACCTTCTAACCAGAGTCAGTGTCAGCTGATGACAAATTCATCATTGTTACAGTCAAACAATAACCTCTACCATCTGTGATATTTAACCCTTAATGGGCTGTACTGGAGGCTTGTAGTCTACAAAGGCAAGCTCAATACCAGCAACACTATCAGGGGTTATTTAAGGCATCACTGTTTTCCACAGTAGAAGTGGCACTAACAATGACTTGTAACTTCATGTGTAAAAAAAATTGTTGAACCCCTCTAAAAATGTGAACACTCACTAAACTCTATAGATGGTGCTGATGTGCCTGTGTTTGTCCTGTATTGACCATAATGCAGACAAACATGAAGCCAATCAGCAGGTTTCTTTACAGACTCTCGTAGCAATGCTAACTGAACCACAGAGCTTTGATAAGGCAATCAGGTGACTGACATAAAACCAAAAGCATTCGGTGTTGGATTCTGACAGCACACACAATGTTTACTATTAATGTTGAAGATCTGTGAACCGTTTCCTGTTTGTAGACTTTGCTGTACCATTGGGAAACAATTGGATGTGATGTGCGGTCTGTGTTTGGCCAATATCCACAGTTAGAAGCCAAACAGAGCCACAGCTCTAGTGCTTTTGATGAGTTTAATAAAGGATGAAGAGTTCTTTTGTCTTGACTGATGTGCACAGTGAGCAGCTGCTGTCTGGGTGTCTGCTCAGGGGCTCACAGTGCAGGTGTGTTGGGGATCTAACCTGTGACCTCTGAGGTACAGGATGGCATCTCATGGCTGTTTGGGTTTCTCCCGCTGCCTCAGCAGACTGACGTACAGACGCAGGAAGGAGTAGCAGACACCCACGGAGCAGTACACTGAGGTCGCCAGCAGGGGGAGGAAGGGCAGTTGCTGTTGCCACGGTGACAGAGGGAAGACGACCTCACATGCGATTGCCACAGCAACCAGCCCTAACAGGTAGACGACCTCCAGAGGATGGAGCAGAGGCCCCTGGGCACTGAAAGGAGAGAGGTAAAAACCTGAACAGGGAACAGATTCCTGCAGTGATCCTGATGTCTGTGCAAAGCACTATGGGTAGTGGACAGGGCTCTGCAGGTGTCAGCAAGTTAATGTAAGACGTTTAAAGATCTTTTTTTAGACCACTGAAAACAATGTAAGACTTATTTCACAGCCATACTGACAATATAGTATGAAGTAAAATCAAATGGGAATTCATGTTTTTAAGAATAAATTCTTGAACTCTGCTCGAGTGGGTTGCGCTGGTCTGGGCTTTGAGCTACTACAGGGCGGTCAGATCAGAATCCATGTGGTCATTTTAACGTCTCCTCCTCTGCACATACAGCCTGTCATCATCATTCAGTGTTGGCCCCTCACAGACCGGTAAGAGTAAACATGGAAGAGAGCAACAACAGCGACGGGGTCAGTGGAGAGACCAGAATGTTTCACATGTGGTGGACATTTACGGAGAAGCTTCTGATCCAAACTGGATGGAACATATCGTAACCCAGCGGTTTTCTGTGAATAAAACATGTTTCTTTACCTGTGGAGTTTCCTCAGAGCAGTGAAGGAGTAGATGGTAAAAATCAGCATCAGAGTGACTTTGATGGGCAACTCTGCAAAACAGGATTAATAAAAAGTTACACGTAGACCCAATGTGTTGTGTGACAGCACGTGCACAGCTGACAGAACTACAACTGTACAAATGTAAGGGTTCTGTTGGTTTGACAAAGGTAAAGCTCTTTATGAAGTCAAGCAAAAACATAACTCAACTTTGAATACAAAAACACAATTTAATGAACCCTAAAAGCAAATGAGCTTTTACTGATCTAAACAAGATGCCTCCTTCACATCTATAAGTTTCTAAGTCAACCTTTCCCTGCAGCATCAAGACAACATTCTGACAAGGAAACTGAGGGCGACACAGCAAACTATAAGCAAAACATACTTCGGAGTAGAGTTGAACTTTAAGTGCACTTGAAAGTGAACTTCACCCCTTTAAAAATTCTAACTGAGAAACTAAACAGTCAATGACAGCCGACGTGATGCCGAAAAGAGCCACAAGAAAACCAAGAGTTAAAAACAAACAAAAAGGACTTTTCAGTAACTGGAATGTAGCAACCGCTCAGTCTGGACAAACTTAATTAGATGAAGATGACACAAAGTCAGGAGAAGAATCGTTTAGCTCCCTTTGTTCTCACGTTTGCTGCTGTCGGTTTCCAGCACTCTCTTCTCTGAAACATACTTGCTCCAAATAAAAAGTGACAAACATCAGGCACTCAGTTTTCAGACTTCTAAGATTCTCTACAGATGAATTAGCAGCAGTTTAGTTTCCTCAGCTCAAACCTCCGCCCATTTGACTGGTGTTTACCTGCACAGGTGAAGAGCAGCGGGAACAGGGAATAGTGACCTGTGGTGGCCAGAACCAGGAAGATCCCAGCATCCTCTCTACTCTCCACCGCCAGGATGCTGCAGGAAGAAAAACAAATGGAAAGCTTCAGGTAAACCAGCGCAACTTTATCTCCTGTCAGAAAACTAGTCTGTGAAACCTTTATTTTTTTTATTGATGGTCTGGCTGGTAAAAATCCAGAACACGTGGATGTTGTGTCCAACCAACAGTCCAAACCTCAACATCACTGAAACTAAAGTCATTAAAATTATCAAAAGCACAAACAGGAAATCTTCACATTTGGGCGGAGCCATGACAGTAGTTACCCCTTTATTTTAATGGTCAACTGATCCACTCAGCTCTACCTGCATATACTAGAAGTACAGCTGGGTAGAAATACTCGGCTACAAGTACAAGTCTGGCAATCAAAATCCTACTTAGGCAAAAGTACACAAGTTTAATCAGTACTTGGAGTACCAAAAGTAAAAAGTACATTTTGATCACCCCCAGACATGATCAGATTATTGATCCTGATTCAATGTTTCAGCAGCTTTTTTACAACCTAGGCGTCGGGCCCCTCCAAAGGGTCACCAGCTACATCTGAGGGGTCGCCACATGACTTAGTGGGTAGGACTCAAACTCTGGACTGAATATTTGCTTTTGATGTAAAAGTAGTGCATAATTTTACATTTTCTGGTCTGAAATGAAACAGACGTCAAAGGGAAACTTCTAAAACTGCTAAAAACTTGTAGAGGTCACAAGCCAGAAAGGCTGGGAATCACTGGGTTCATCTTTAACACGTTACTGTCACTTATCCAGTCATCAAATGTTTTCCCTGATGGAAAGCTTTATCTGAAAGGAGGTGCTGATGTCTGCCAGATAATGGTGGTGCAGTGGAAAGCACTGTTTACACTTCTACTCCAGTTCACAGG